AAATTCAATATGCTTTTTCCGTTCTCAATCCAATAATCCATTATGATCAAAACAATATCGCTCGCCCTCACAAGAAGGCATAACAATAACAATCCTAAAGAAATCAGAACGCTTAACATTCTGCTTGAATTTGCTGTCACAACTAATATTTATTGTAATTAACTCTTTGTTCTGGATTCAATCAAGCTGATGCTTACACTTCAGCTTTAGCTTTAACTTTAAGTAACAGGAACTACATGTGTTCTTATTTTATCCGCGCGTTCGCGGATGTAAAACATATATTTTTTTAAACATTCTCTCGTCGCGGGAATTAATTTGCATATTAAACGTGAAGCGGTAAGCATATCAAAGGCTATTCGGATAATTGACTTTACCAACTATTAAAAGAAAACTGTGTAATGTCATATTTTGTTATGCAAATTGTCTTGTTTTAAATATTTTCCATTTAATGGAAATACTGGGCACCTTTTTTTTATTTGGGAAGTCGATTGACTGATGAATTCAGCCCACGATTTTAATTAATTTGTTTGTTTCAATTTTCTTCTCTTTGTTGTATCTAAGTTCCCTTTGATAATGTGATTAATTTCCCCACAGCTACTAGATTAGTTTCAAATCTTCTTCGTGACGAAATTAACACCTGTAATTTGTCAACATCAATCAATTTGGTAGACAGCTCTACCTAAAATATCGTGATAAAGTATCAGTCCTAACATGTTGTTACATATGATTTAAACGATTAAAAAAAGGGTGTTTAATAGTTTTGACGTATGCAGCCAATTATAAAAGAAATAGTCCAATATATAAATATATAATAAGTAAAAGCTATTTCACGAAAAAGTAAAATTGGCATGAACACAAAGTAAAATTATAACAAGTAAAGAAGGTGCAATCGAACATTTTATACTTTTTCAACTTGAAGACATCAATGCCTGGGAAATACTTTAAGGTGTTAAACGTCAACCAGAGGATCCACATATGTATATCCAAGCAACTTAAGTATAAATACATATACAAGGTGCAATATGTCGACTGGTGCGTTAGAATCTGCTATTTTTATAGATAGTCCAGTGTGAATTTCATAACATTTCATCAATTGGAAGTGAAGTAATTGCGTTTTAAGTGTCAGTATGTTTGTGTTATCGGTGCGAAAATGAGGTCAGAACAAAGAGCTGACATTAAATTTTATTTTAAAATTGGTAAAACTTTACTGAAACATTTCAATTGATGAAACAAGTTATTAATAGGCAATGATGGCATATGCCGTAGCAGAATGCACGAGTGTTTTCAAGTGCTCGTGAGGACATAAATGAAGATCAACACGTTTGCCAATCAAAATCCGTGATCACCGGAAATTTCATCGAAACTGTTCATGACCTCACCAAAAATCAGCCGAAGTCATCATTGAAATTCATGGAAATGGAATTGCATATCTCCAAAACATCGATTTATCGCATTTTGACCAAACTTTTGGATTTACGAAAGGTGTGTGCACGGTTTGTTCCACACAAATTGACTGACGACCAAAAGTTGCTCAGAATCCAACAACGCTTGTGACCGATTATTTGACCAAAAATTACATTTTAACCATTAACCAATCCCCGTATTCAGCTGATATGGCACTTTTTGACTTCTTCTTTTTCGGAAAAATTTATTTGCCCATGAAAGGAAAGCGTTAAGCAGACGTACATAGAGGCCATTCAAAAGGCTTGCAACGACATACTGGCGGCCATACCGGCCAACGATATGCTTTTGGACCATGCAAAAAGCTGTATTGAAGCAGAAGGAGACCATTTTGAGCAAATTAAATTGATTTTGCCTAAAAACCTTTTATTTCTATTTTTTAAGTCCTTTGGAACGCAAGGATCCAAAGACATAGCGTTGAGAGTTGTAATTGCGTAAATTCATTTTTTGGGTAATCCAACAAAAACTTTTTAAACAAGTGTAAAAATTTATGATTTTATGATACGTTATGACAAGTTGTGCGAGACCCCTAATAGTCAGAAAAAGCAGATTGGTCCCATCTGGATTTATAAGTGAGGAAACAAAGGCATCGATGTTGATGGGTCCGTCATATGATGACAGATTACAGCTGGTTTTTCGTATTTTGTTATTATATTATATTTGTAATGTTTAGTGAAAAGAGATTTAAAAATAATTGAGAGAAACTCTTATAGCATCAATGATAGTTTCATTAATTGTGGGCTCAAATAAATCCAAAATTGGTCTTATATCTAGACATTTTTGAAATATCTGAATTACATTTAACAGAAAGCCTTCCTTGGAAGTTTTTTTTATCATTTTATTGGTTGCAAATATTGTATATTCTGCGGTCTGGTTCTATGGCTACAAAAATATTTTTATACTCTGATAAAATCCAGGTTAATAAAAAAAATGACAAGACGACTGAAATCCTTGTGTCTTGACGAAATTAGACAAATGTCTTCTTTGGAACTGTAAGGAGGTTGGTGTTATATTGGTATTGCTACACTCCCAAAAAGTTATCAATAGAAGATGTATTCAGATCTTTATCTAGATAAGATATATCCCTCATAGAGGATATAGTCATGTGCAGAAGTTCACACAAGTGAGGAAAGTTCTCTGACCGCCATTCACTTGGGAGTGGCCAGAAACGATTCTTTTACATATGACTCAAGCAGCTCACGACTTCCCGTCTTTGACCAAGTATCCTCTGGGTAGCCTAAGAATATCCGTTTGAAGGCCAGCTAAAGTAAGGTGGCGAAACATGACCTCATTTTTCTGATTTGCGCATACTCCCCGACGGAAGAGAAGGACGATGTGACCAAAGATGCCTTTTATGAGTGCTTAGAGCGCACCTATGAGAGCTGCCCCCGCTACGATGTCAAAATTGTGCTTGGCGAAGAAAGTATCTTTGACCCTACGGTCAGTAAATTCAGCCTCCACGAGGAAACAAGTTTATCTACAATCAGATTCAAATTCGCTTTCAAAACATCAGTATACGAGTATTTATTAGCGCTCATTATTTCAGCTGCAGTAAAACTGTGCTTAAAAAATAACAGGAATTCGCGGGTTGGGAGAGTCCTATACTCAAAACTTTTCATTATGGTGACATTCTTGCTCCCGAAGTACGATATTTTTATGCCCTGAACAAGGTATATTAAGTTTGTCACGAAGTTTGTAGCACCCAGAAGGAAGGGTCGGGGACCCTATAAAGTATATATGTATATATATAAATGATCAATATATCGAGCTGAGTCGATTTAGCCATGTCCGTTTGTCTGTCCGTCTGTCTGTATATATACGAACTAGTCCCTCAGTTCTTAAGATATCCTTTTGTAATTTTGCAAACGTCGTTTTCTCTTCAAGGAGCTGTTCATTTGTCGAAACTGCCGATATCGGACCCCTTTAACATATAGCTGCCATACAAACTGAACGACCGGAATCAAGTTATTGTATGGAAAACTTTCACATTTCACAATGTATTTTTACAATCCGAAGAAATTGTTCAGATCGATTAACTATAACATATAGCTGCCATATAAACTGAATACATAGTTACTAACAGAAATGCCCCTGTGAAGGTGCAACCGAAGTTAACGTTTTTTCTTGTTTCACCTGCATTCATTGCTTACTATATCTGTGGCAACCGTTAAGGTTAGACGTACTTTTATGAGCTTGGCGATTGGATTTAGATCGAAGTGGTTGGTCGTGAATTCTTGGACAAGAACAATACTGTAACCATGGCCCAGCCTCCATATTCGCCAGCCATGGCCCCATGGGGCTTTTTCGTACGAATGATTATTTCGCAGAATCTCGTTAGGCAATTGTTCGTATTGATATTAAGCTTCTATTGTACTTTTACACATTTACACCTTTAACATTATACTTTCGTACTAACGATTTGAATAGACAACCGATGCCGATATTTTACATCCTTTACATTTTACTTTAAGGAACCCGTTTAAACTAAAAGTTTAAATAAACAGCTGCGGTCGATACTTCTAGCAGAACTGATATAAATATAGGGTAGGCGATATAGATGTCGTTGCAGTCATATAACTCCAGTGCTATCAATCACATTGTGTCATACCATATAGTGTTGGAAAGGTGAGATTTTAAGCTTCATTTAATCAAAAACAAATTAAATTCTGGAGAGTTGAAAAACAGTTACAGCTGTTCAAAAATTAGTGAAAATGATGAAGAAATTCACTATTTCTTGAAAGTTTTGAATAAAAAGGGAAGATTGTCACGCAAGCCACCAATGAATTTTGTGGAGTTTACTTACACGATTCTGCCTCAGTTCGTGTAACACAACAATGGTTCGTTCGCTTCGGTTCTGGAAATTTCGATTTACACTGATGGAATAATGTCTCTAGCGGAAAATGGGGAAAAAGTGGTTGACCAAAATGGTACATATTTGTTTATTTAATTATTAGTATAAATATATAAAAAAAATGAAGTTTAATTAGAAATACGAAAAGACTTTTTCGACTACCCAATATTACAACTATGAAAGCCAGTTCTTAACAGATCGAATATTGTTTGTGATCAAAATCACAACAATTTATATACAAGATATGTATGCTCCATACATATAGCTTCAAATATGTGCGAGTTAATTCCCCATGTTTAAGCAAATTTCCACTATTACATCTGCACTAATTAATTAATTTCTAACATATTGTTTTGCTATGCTCTCTGATGCTGTGATGATAGTTGCATTCTTGCATAGAATATTTCTGACGGTGTAATATATTTCAATTGTGCTAGTATGCGGACACAAATGTTTATAAATATTTTATGTATGTATGTACATAGATATTCTGCACAAACTTTTGTTTTTGAATACTATATATTTTTCTTGAAATGCTAAACCGACGATGACCGAAGTAAAAAAAAATCCCCCCCAATGTGCTTCTATTTAGCTTTTAATGCTTCTTTTATTTTGAATTTTACTCTGGCGGATGAGTTCTTACTTTTTCTCTTGCACTTTTTACTTGTGTTTGCTTTGGATTATTTTGTATTTTTTATGATTTTTATTTAGCATTAGTATTTGCGGACATGTTCAACGCGCACATATAATTATTAATTTCTAATTCTGCAAGGCTTGCAGTATATGTGAAACTTATAGGCAGATAATTATGGTAAATGAAACGGGCTAAGGAATTACGGTTGTTGGGAAGGTATAATACACTTAAAACAGTTAAAGCTGATACGATACTAAGTACTCGAAATAACGTAAAAACCAATATTTATATATTTTAGGGTTCATAGGTTAACTTTATATCATTTGCGGTGAAAAAATGTTAATTGAGCTAAAGAACAAATTTTCAACAAAACTGTATTATTTAAAAACAATATTCAATATCTGTATTAATGCCAGCGTGCTTTTTAGTTGATATAGTGACTAAACATGCTCAAAATAATACATATGCTTTATGTACTTTGCTTCAAATCAATTCTATACTATTATGCTTTACGGCAGCTACATCCAGCTAACGAAGTGATTATTATAAATTGAGTGAAATATTATTTAAACAAAAGTATTTATTTACACGAATTTGTTTAAAACACATTTTGTTAAAAACTCTAAGAAGAAATTCATGTGTACACTAAATAAGTAAGAGTATTGAACAAATATAAAAAGCTGATATTCGCAGATTGTGGCAGCAATGTATTTTAACTCAAAACTCGCATTTACTTATATATAGGGTTGAAATATTAGTTTTACCTTTGAATCCCATAAATTTAAAGTTCAAAAATGTGTGGCAGCGAATATATGAGTATAAATGCCGTGTTTAAGAGATTTTGTTCCTTTGACGACAACTGCAACAACTTATAAGATATATAAATATCTATGTACATTGTGTATATATGTGTATGAATTTAAAAAAAATATAAGTAATATTAAATATGTATGCCTGTGTCGGCTCAATAGTGCTGATAGGATGATAAATTCTCAAACAGTTATGGTAAAGCACAAATAATTCATATATTTGATCTCTGGTCAATAATCGAGTATCAAATGGCTGAGAGAAATATACAAACTTCAAAATAATAATACCTACAAATTTATTTAAAAAGGTAAGTAAGCCGTAAGTTATTAAATGGGAAATCCAATATATGATTTGTATATACATAATAGCATTGTAAAAGATATTCTCACAAAGTAAAGAAATTGAAAACCAACAGAATATATCAAATGTAGTTTTTCACAATCACTTCATATCAACATTTTTAATCAATCAATAGAAATTTTATTTTCTCAATTCAAATAAATGAAAATGAACAAAATCTAAATATGTGCTTCAAATATCATTTCTAAATACATGTGTTTTAACAGCTGTTTCTTCATATGGCAGTAGATATTTTCGGATTGTAGAAATTTCACTACCAGAAACCAGCAGCTCTCCCAGCTTTTTACGCTCTCAACTTGTGTTCTCTTCTGTTCGCTTCTGCTGGGGTTTTGGTTAAGAAACTCATTTCCAGCAGGAATAGTGTTATTTAGCAATAATTCAGAGGTAAGAAACAATTCTAATGTTCCTTTTGTTCTCTCGCGATATGTTGCTACAACATGTTACTAGGGAGTAGTATGTTAATTTTGTTCACCTAGCAGTTGTTTGTAACGATTGAAATCCGGTTTACTGTCTGTCTGTTAGTCTATCCGTCTGTCTGCGCAAGCTGTAATTGGTTAACAATTGAGACATCTTCAAGGAAAACTCTTCTTTTTTTCTGTAAATCAACCAAAATTGTTCATGCCAAACCTAATAATTTTCAGCTGAATTAATTTCATTCTTTCTCTGCAGCAGCCGCTAAGGTTATATGTGTTTTTATGAGTTGGAGATTTTCGTTTGTTAAAAGTTTACTCTTCGTTTCTTGTTTCTTGGCAAAAACAATACTAAAATGATGCACCAGTCCTTGTACTCGCCCGACATGGCTCGGTGACACTTTTTCTTATTTCTACCTAAAACTAAATCGAATCTTAAGCCTTAAAACGACGGCCCTGTTTTACTAGATAGATGAAAAGCTAAAGGCTATCCCAAAAATCGTGTTTGAGAAGTGTTTCGATGATTAGAAGAAGTACTGGCGTAAGTGCATAATATCGAATGGGGACTATTTTGAAGGCAGCAACTTTAACAAGAGAATACATGTTTTATTTAAAAAAATAATAAATTCAGTTCTTTAAACACACCACGTACAACCACAGAATTTTTAATTCCATATGATTCATTCAGTTTGCAATATTCAAATCAAGATGCAATAAATATATCGAAACTAAATTGTGCAAAACTATTGCCTTTAAGGTAAGCCTCATATTTTCAAAATGAGACCATAATTATTAAGCCATAGGTACCGAAGATGTGGACCCCACTGGCTGTGGTTGACTATAAATTGAAAATATAGGCCAGTGTATAGTATATGAAATTCGGAGAGAATCTTTCTTAGGCCCCATACACCCAATTGGTCAACATGTGTGATGAATGAATATAAATGAAATTTGTGTAGACTTTGGTCCACACATCATATCCCTAATATAATCGATTCCGATCTTATCAATATATTAAACTTAGCCCCTTTGATTACATAACCTTAATCACATATCTCATTTGAGGATAATTTTTATACAATTTAACTAATTTAGTCTATAGCATATAATGCAACCTAATAAAATATCAAATTTAACTGTAATCCATTCATTATTTCGTCGAACAATGAATGTTGAATTCTTTCGCAACATTTTCAGTATAAAGTTTCGGCTTTGATCCTTGCAAGTTGCAAGAATACAACCTGTTCGGTTACACTCCAATTGATCCTTTGCTTTCTTATTTTTTACATATTGAATTGAACATTTGAATAATGTTTGTGAGACCCTAAAGAGTATTTTAAGCCCCAATCCCTAAATTTCTTACCTGAATATAGATAAATTCAGTTTTCTATTGATTACATTTTGGGAGTGTGGCAATAAAAATATAACACCAACCACCCTACAGTTCTAAAGAACACATGTGTTAAGTTTCGTCAAGATACAAGGATTTCATTCGTCTTGTTATTTTTTTTTATTTATTTTTATGGCACCGTATTGTGATTCCGCTACCAAGTTTACTTCAACATCGTGTAAAATATATAATATTTACAACCGATAAAATGATAAAAAAACTTCCAAGGAAGGCTTTCTGTTAAATGTAATTCAGGTATTTCAAAAGTCTCTAGATATAAGACCAATTTTGGATTTATTTACAATAAATTAAATTATCATTGAAGCTGTAAGAGTTTCTCTCGATTATTTTTAAATTTCTTTTCACTAAACATTACAAATATAATATAATAACAAAATACGAAAAACCAGCTGTAATCTGTCATTATATGACGGACCCATCAACATCGATGCCTTTCTTTTCTCACTTTTAAATCCAGATGGAACCAATCTGCTTTTTCTGACTTTTAGGGGACTCTCACAACTTGTCATAGCGCATCATAAAATCATAAATTTTTACACTTGTTTTTTGTTGGATTACATAAAAATGAATTTATGCAATTGCAACTCTCAACGCTATGTTTTTGGATCCTTATAACTTACAAGGTGCGCTAAAAAGGACTTAACAGAACAAATGATTTTTAGGCAAAATCAATTTATTTTGCTCAAAATAGTCTCCTTCTGCTTCAATACAGCTTTTTGCATGGTCCAAAAGCATATCGTTGGCTGGTGTGGCCGCCAGTATGCAGGTGCAAGCCGTTTGAATGGCCTCTACGTCTGCATAACGCTCTCCTTTCATGGGAAAATGCATTTTTCCGAAAAAGAAGAAGTCAAAAAGTGCCATATCAGGTGAATACGAGGATTGGTTAATGGTTAAAATGTAATTTTTGATCAAATAATCGGTCACAAGAGTTGTTGGATTCTGGACAATTTTTGGTCATCAGTCATTTTGTCCGGAACAAACCATCCACACATCTTTCGTAAGCCCAAATGTTCAGTCAAAATGCGATAAATCGATGTTTTGATTCCATGTCCATGAATTTCGATGATGATTTAGGCTGATTTCGGCTGATTTTTGATGACTTTGCGCACAGTTTCAATGGAATTTCCGGTGATCACGGATTTTGATTGGCCCACATGTTGAAACCACTCCTGCATTACGCTACGGGATGGACCATCATCGCCTATCAATAACTTGTTTCATCAACTGAAGCGTCTCGGAAAAAGTTTGACCAACTTTAAAATAAAATTTATGTTGGCTCTTTGTTCGGAGCTCATTTTCGCACCAATAACACAAACATACTGACAGTGAAAATTCAATAACTTCACTTCAAATCTATAAAATATCATGAAATTCTCACTAAACAATCGTTAAAGATAGCAGACTAACGCCCTAGTCGACTTATAGCTGGCGACACCCGAGAGCGCTAGATTCAAAATATCCTGTTTACTTTGGAATATCCCTTGTATAACTTTATGAGACTGTATGAATCCCCTATGTAATTTCCTAAATTATCCGAAAATTTTCTTGATATTTGTCATAGAGTTTGAAAATTTGTGAGCATATTATGCTCAATTTCATCATAATTTTATATTTTATGGTAATCTAGGAAATTGTCAACTATAAATACAACACTGAACAGTCATAAATTTGATAAAAGTTGTATTTTTCATTAATTGCTCTATCGAATATTCCCCCTTTCAAGTTTTCCTTACTATGCTCCGAAAATTTTCTAAAAAAATTATTTTATAATTCTTCTAACTTGATCACGTATTAAATCACTGAGTTCATTTTAAGAAACTAGCTTTGGTGTAGATTCAGCCTTCCTTAAACACATTTGAGTAAAACAGAATATTTTGTAGACTGTAAGTTCAGATTTCTCCACGTTTGATTTTAGGGAAAACCTTAAAACTTTCCACATCATTTTTGCATACTTTCAGTAGGTTATGGGGCTGAGTGTGGGCACAAAAAAGTTCACAGAACTTTTATTGTTTTCTAGCCTATAATTGGTAAAAATCAAAGGTATGCATTAATTAATATGTGTGACCTGGTCTACGAAAAGGGAGCGTGCGAAAACTAGTTTTCTGGGAAGTAGCTGTTAAAAATCTCATCTTCCATCCGAATCAACTAAAAAGTGAAAATTGATTTTTTGACACCTAAGCCCCCTTTCCGTAGACCAGGTCACATGTAATGCTTTCACGAATACATTTCTGATTCAGGTATTTAAAAACATAAAAATTTGCTAACAAACTATATATATATATATTTTTTTTTTTGATTTTTTTTTTAGAGCAGTGTAATTTTACAAGGTTTTGAAATGAGACTTGAGATACAAATAATTTTCTTGAGAAATCCCAGTAAGCCTTTTTTATCTCTGGCGATTTGCATCTCATTTCAATTATTTCCTTATTGTGAGGGATGGAATTTCTGCATGATAAAATTTTCTAAAATTTTATATTGTAAGTACTTGTGGCGAGGTTTTCTTATGTTATAATGGAAGTGCATACGTATTTTCCGTATTTTGGAAACGAGGAGAATCAAACGAAATAATATTTAATTTTCATCTTTAACGCAATTGATTCGGCAAATAAAATTAATGAAGTTATTTTGATAAGACATGAATGACTGAAATCCAAATCCCACATTTGTAAGAATAATATTGACTAATAAGTTTTCCGTTTTTCTTTACTCGCGGACACATGCGAGAAAACACGTACAGTGGACCAATAAAGTTTACATAGGTGTATGTTCTAGTAAAATACGACGCTTTTTTTTATGTAATGAATAAATTCTGTTTTGTTTCTATCCATTTCAAAAATTTAAAAGTTAAATTTGCTTAAATCGGCTGTTTATTGCGGCCTCTTCTATTTATAACAAGACCCAAAACACCCGTCTCATCTTGTACGTCCAGGGTTTTCATGAACTTAAAAATAACTCCATAGGTCCGGTAATCACTAGACATCAATCCTATTCACAATACCTGGAAATTTTTGGAAAATCGTATTCGAAAACTTCGAATTTCATCAAAATATGGCCAAACAGCTGAATTATGGACTTAGTGCGTCAAAATATTTGGAAATAATACTAGGAATTGAGTAGGGAGCATATATCGATGTCTAGAGATAATAATAGCAACATATTGTAGGCCAAAACCTGCTAAAACTTATGTAATTACTTTTGAATTGTATAAATAATCATTGCTGTACGTAAACTTTTTAGATATAAATTTGGCGCACTTTCAGCTTTAGCACTAACTTTTTTTAATTCAAAAAAATTTTTTTTTGATATGCTATATTTAATGTTAAATATTCATATCTTGGAATGGATAGAAAAAGACACAAAATTTATTCATTACAAAAAAAAAAGTGTAGTAATTTACTAGAATTAGGTGTATGTAAACTTTATTGGCCCACTGTGTACCATTGTGGTGCAAATTATTATGGTCATTTGACGTGATGACGTTTATTCTGCATTAAGTATGGACTGAAGCGTGAATTATTAAAGGAAGAAAATTCCAGATAATTATATTTTCAGAATTCAATCATAAAGGGGAGATTTATGAGTTTTACCTTTGTGTTAGTAGGCACAACAAAAACCAGAAACCGGCAAATGAGATTATTGCTGCATGAAAATGTATTTAAGATTTAGCACCTCAAGCACATATTATTGATTATTTTAGTTTTTGGACCGTAAAGACTTTTTCTATATGCCGTGCTAAATTCCAAAATTATTTAAGAACGGGCTGCAGTCGAAAATTATACAGTTTAATAATATCAGCGCAAGGAAAATCACGATTTTTTGCTTATCCTCAAACAGTCACCAAATTAATATTAGTGCATAACGTTAACAAGGTTTTAGCATCAACACATTTTTACATTAGGTAAACGGTCAAAATTTTAGTGATACAGTGGTCTTTTCCAAGGTTCTGCTATTTATATATAAGTACAATAGTTATAACTTTTCTCTCGCTATCAAATAATGATTGTTTAATCTCTGCTTTTCCTTCTCAGGGAGGCCGCAACATTTGATATTGTTATCAAACTAAACAAGTTTGAAGTCGTGAGAATCGTGCATTTATTGACAGTGGTTTAAGCTGTAGAGCATTTAACATGGATGCCAAGAAGAACATAGCGACATCGCAAGCAAGTGGCACTACATTGCGTCGTCCGATTCAAATTGTGAAAAAACGTTCTGGTCCATTAGATGATGCACTAAAAGAGCTATATCAGGAGCTAAGTGATGAACCCGCTACGACTGACACGACAGCGTCGACGGCAACACAAGCGGCTTTTACAGTTTGGCAACCATCTTCAAGAGATACCAGTATTAAATTTCCCTCATTCACAGTGACCGCAGCATCACCACAATCCGCACGTCGTCGTCCAACAACCAAAGAGAAAGAGAAAAAACGCGAACGTTGGTTACTTACACGTAAAACTTGGAAATATATGACTGACGCTGGACGTAAGCTTATACCAGAAGGAGCGCAAAACTGTAAAGAAGACGTAGCGAAGATTGAAGCAAATTTTCAACAGATTTGTTCTAATGAACCCCGTTTTATATTGTGGCGTCGGAAGTCTTCTTATCCAGGAGCCGTGCGAAATTCGAAACAACGTTTGAAACATTTATTGCAACATACGGGACAAAAGGGACCAAATACGATAGAAGCAATAGAAAAGGAAGAAGCACACAATGCTAATCAAGTAATCGATCTTTTGCAGTCTTTTTTAAAGCTTGACGAAATGTGTAAAACTACGACATTACTCAGCTCCAAAACTGTGCGGCCAGATCAGACAGCTTCGCCAAGTGCTCGTCGTCCTAGTAGCGTTCGGAAGTCAGCGGCTAACAGTGGGAATATAACTTTACGTGGTCCTAATTTTTTTGCACTGGAACTTCCTAACGACTTACAACAACTTAATGAAATCGATCAACTGCTTGAACGATTACGAAGAATTTCTCGTAGTGCGAAAGTAAATGAATTCACAATACCACCAAATGATATTACTCCAGCTATTCTTCAGGATAAGGTTTTACTTAAACAAATATATAATTCTCTTAAAAAGCAACAGTTACATCGTGTTTTGAGTACACATTCCACACCGTCATTAAAGGGTACCCGACCGAATATAAGGCACTCTTCATCATTATCTAGTTTACAGAATTTTAACCTTAATAGACTTGTTAAGTTTGGGGGTAGTACTAAAGATCAGGATTTGAATTTAGAACCTTCCCATAAAGAAGCTATCATTCAATTGAGAAAATCCGCTACAAAACTAACGGTATCATCACCGACAATAACTGGAGCAGTACCAAAAAACCAACTTTTTTCAATCCCAAAGGACACTAGTATCAAACCTATGCCTCCTACGCCAACGCCTCGCACACGTAAGCCACCAAATACACTTAGTCTACCAGCTTTAAACAAAAACAGCACAAATAACGTACCTTTAAGACATGTGAAACAGCCTCAGGCTGTGAAGAATTTTAATTCTTGTGGAACTCAAACTAACTTTGTCCCTTTGCAAGAAATTAAACGTTTAGCAGAAGAATATAAGAATCTGAAACAGGAAAATGCTTCACTGAAGGCTTTATTAAGTTTCACGCCCAGCGCCACTGATGATGAGATGGAAAAAGGCGCCAGTTCTACAACAACGACAAGCCCTCCACGCCATCATAGTCGCAAGAGTTCTATAGATAATGAAAATATATCACAATCCGTAAGTGATACGATTAAGCGATATTTGCGTATGGCGCGAAAGAAGAGTGTCAATGATGGTAACTCTAATCGATTTAAGCGTGTTAATTACGATCGTAATTTACGCAATATAAAAGTGAAGGGCGAAATTAATCCGCCTGGTATGGATGAAGACAATTCGAAAGCTGTACAAACATTGGACGCATGGCCCGTGATTTGTTTAGACTTTATACGTGGCAAAGAAACATATAGTATCTTAGAGGCAGCTCACGCCGAATGGCAGCGGTCACTAGATGAACGTATTCAAAAAAAGATGGAATACGGCCAAAAAATCTGTGATTTAAACAATGCCACATTAACACCGGCTGTATCGAGTTGTGGTTCCTCATCTGCACCGACATCGCCAACATCTCCTGTAACTTTCAGTGAAGCTAGCCACAATTTAGAAACTCGTCAAGCGAACCACGGAATTGGAAGCAGCATGGGAAGCCTTCGTCACGTTGGATCACAGTTTTTATCAAATTTATGGCACGGAACTAGTATTAGTAAAGCAGGAACTCCAGATGATGAAGATGCTGGCAACAGAAGTGCTGAAAGACATGTTCCAAATCATTCTAGTAGCTTTTTAAAATTTCATCGAAGTTCAAAACACGATCACAGCCCAATAACTAATGACTGTAAGTACAGATATAGCTATATATACATGTATGTAAATATATTAAAAAATAATTAACATAATTATGTCAAACAATATTTTTTGGAACATTTAATGTTTGCGAGCTGGTAAAAAATATGTTAAAAGCCTTCTATCGTAGAATGGATGCCCTCTTCAACTTAACTGAATAGACAAAACAACTCAGTTGAATCTAGTTCCGCTCGGAGCTGATTACGGACTAATAAAGCATATGTCATAAAAACGTACAATCAGTTCGATATAACCGAAGTTAACATTTTTTATTGGTTTTTGTTTGTTTAGTGCAAGTCGGTATAGTCTCCGAGGTAATAGCTCAAATCGGACAACTTTCAGATCTTTAATACTCGATATCTAAGAATTTCGGACAAATGAATAGACCGATTGCGCAGCCATAATGCATCGCCCTTAGTGTAAATGGCATAGACTGGTGTTAATTATTTTTGGTATTTGTGTTAAATAAATTTTGATAAATTTCTTTAATGTTCTTTTTATAAATTTACAATGATAAGGAATCAGAATTTTTTATAATTTTAGTTCCTCTAATCGATTAAATTTAACAGAATTTTCCAAGTTTGCTATACTTATATATGTACACAGATATAGTATGGGGTGATGCTCGCTTAATACATACATATGTATGTATGAATGCCGCATTTACAAACAAGCAAATGTACTAATACTAATAAAAGATTTGCGTTTAGTCTAGCTATTGTGGCACTGATTCACGTTTTCAGTGCACATATTTATTCAGTTCCCCTTTTGGTTGGTTTGAATTTCAATAGAAATTTGTTTAAATAACGTTTGAAAAACTACTATCCAGCTATAGTCAGAACATAGGTAAACAAAGTGAAAATCGATTAGGGCGAAAAAAACTTTTAACAGAAAAAAATTCAAATCTTCAAACTTTGTTGTTCAAAGAAATTTACTAAACACACTTATTAGTTTTGACGGTTACTAAAAGTACAAGCAGAAAGAAAAAAATGGCTAAAAAGTATCTAAACATCCCATATCAATTCATTACGTATGAATTCTTGCATGTGCTCACATACATACATACACATTTAAATGAGTACGCCAAATCAATGAGCAAATGTGTGCATACGAATCTTGTATGGAATAAATGCATAAGTATATATTTGAATGATTTAGTAATGTCCAATTCCGACGATCGGCAAAAGTATGCAAATTTAAACAGTAGGGGCAACTAATGAAAGACGAGCGAAACGAAAACAAATTCTTTTTGGCATCAATAGCAATGTACACTAAGGTTAATACGCCAGAGGCCACTACACGTGAATACTATAACATATACACATGCACTTAAATCTCATCAACTAAGGATTATTAACATAGTAAAATAATTCACACTGCGAAATGTAAGTTGATTTCGACGCAGAAGTTATATATTATAATAAAT